TTTTCTGTCTCTTTCTCTCTCTCTCTCTATATATGTTTCCTAAAAAAGAAACATACCATGTAAAATATAGGGGGGGAAGCTTTAGTTCCACAGTCATTTTATATAAAACTATATTTTGATTTTATATAAGACTATTGTTTTGTCTTTCTGCCTGCAACGTAACAATTTATTTATTTATTTATTTAGATTTTATGTGAAATCAATGTGAGTATAAGGTTTTCTTCCTTAATGTTAGCAAATAAATAAATAAATTGTTACGTTGCAGGCAGAAAGACAAGACAATATGTTAAATATGAGTTTTTTTAATAATGTAAATCGGGAGTTCCTAAACCTTTTCACTTGGCAGCTCACTTGCAGGTTTATTATTTTGTCATGGGGCCGTAGCCGTGTTTAACAAAGTGTTGTACAAAGTTTGTGCTTTACAACCTGCTTACTTCATAGTGTTAGCAAATCACAACAATTCATTAAATATGACTGTATATTGATACTAGTGATCAGGCACAGAAATGAAAACAACCACATTTTGAGGCTGATATATATATATATATATATATATTTGAACTGATATACAAGAATATTATTATTAAAGAAAAAATAGGGAAAAATCAATGGGACGGGTGCACTTGCTGATCTCCAGAAAGTTTTTCAAAGCGAGTGATAAGACTTGACACTGCCACTCTTATTTCTCCACGTTGATCTCTGAACGATATTTGCACTTTATTACAGCTACAACTGAAAATCCATTTCGTATGAAAAAGATGTTGCAAAAGGAATGAGAATCCTTAAAGCTTTTGAACTTAGAATTGTATATTCATTTTTGATGATTATTCAAAAAACTCCACCAAATCAGAACAAGTGAATTTTGTTTTAAGGCTGTTGTTGCAGGAACATTAAAAAAACTCTCTTTTTCTTGTGAATGGAATTTTAGTAGAGCTTGAGCATGGAAAAGTTTTTGGGTCCATGAATATTTTTTTATATTTTCTTCCGCAAAGTATTTTCCAAATCATTCAGTGGGCTTCGAAACATATTCCGTTAAAAGAGATGACAATTTTTGAGAGACAACGAGTTCAGTAGAGGATCTGTATTTATGCAATTCAGGGAAACAATCTTGACAACCATCCTCATTAATTTTTCTTATCTACAACTGCAGTTTTCTTCTAAATGCCGCAATCTTCACCAATAATTTCAAGATGTGGATATTATTGCTTTGTAGAGATAGATTCAAGGCATTCAGTTTGTCAAATATATTGCACAAATATGCCAGTTTTAGTGAAAAGTCTGGTTTGGCAAAGTATCTGGAGTTTGCATGTCCTTCCTCTTGCAAAAAAGTGTGAATTTCTTGATGTAGCTTGAATGGATGGGATTAGACATTTCCACCTAAAAGCCATCATGAACTGCAGATTATAGCAGGGCAGTGTGTTCAGCTGCCATGTCCATGCAAAGTTTTTTGAATAGTTTGGCTTTCAGCGGCCTAGGTTTTATGTAGTTTACTACATCTGTGATAAGTTCCAATACCAAATTCAATTCACAGCTCATCGACTTCAGTGCAAGTGCTTCCCTATGAATGATACAATGGGTCCACATAGCATGCGGTGCTTTCTTGTGATAAGGACTTTCAATAAGTCAAAGTAATTTTAGGAAAAAGTTGCTAATAAAGTCTAGTACACAAAGAAAATTTTGTGAACACAACTTATAGAAATTAAACAAACAATTTTGATTTTTTAAAATAAAACTTTTACTTCTGTCTTAGAATAATTGTTATAATTTTTTATTAATTTAAAAATACCAATTTTGATATAAACTCAAATTTAGCATGCAGTTAATTAAAAAAAATTCCCTAAAGATTTATAAATTTTTTTTAATGAATTAAGATATTTTTTCTCCAGCACAGTTACAGCAAAATGCTCTTCTTGCACATGAAGCCAATAACTTGACGGTCATACATTGAATTGCAGGCAAAAACATTGAATTTTTGTGGATAAATCATAGAATTTGAATTCTTATTTTAAGACTTTTTATTACTATTATTTTTTAAAGTATAAGATTTTTAATTCAGATTTGCACCGATAGATGGTAGTGTACATTTAATATCACAAAAATGTGCAGACATAAATCCTTTAAAAAAAAAAAAAAAAAAAAAAAAAAAAAGTTGGTCAACTGAGTGTTCATGATAGTCTGCTAAATTAGTAGTAATATCTTAGCAAATGCAAAGGAATAAATGATGCATAATCTTGTTCTTTCTCCTTCTGTAATGTTACATGCATCATTTATGAGTAAAATTTTGAACTAAAATTTATCCAACAAAAGTCTTCCTATGTAACAAGTCTCCACGTGCAAGCCTCACTGTGATACACAATTTGTTGATTTTATTTATTTATTTATTTTAAGTATCTCAGTAGGATATCAAAGTACACCTTGCACAAAAAAAAAGGGGGGAGACAAATCCTATATCTCCTGTTCTACTGGATTGATTGTCGAAATTTAACTTGTGTTTTCCATATCTCGAAAGTGCAACTTGTATATTAGATTTATGTGTAGCATTGTTCTAACACAGGTATTTTAACACAAAATCGGACTTTTTCTGAAATAACATATCAACATTCAAAGTGCCAAGTTTTGTAAAAAATTGTCTAAGTAGTTTTTAAAAAATTTGCTCTTAAAATTTTAACTCCTCCATGTTAATTGAATTTAGTATATATTTATTCATATCTCTTTTTTTTTATATTATACTTATTTGATTTTTCCTTTCACATTTTGAAATTTAGGTTCATTCCAAATAAAATTCATTTTTTTTTAAATTTGTATTTTTAAATGGTTTTATAAACATTTTTGAATTGTAAACTATCAAATTTTTACCATCATCTCACAGTAGATGTATTTCTAGGCATACCTGCAAAAAATTAGTTTTTTTATTCAAAATTTCTTAAGATATACACACGTTTGCATATTGGCACTTTTGAAATTTGACATATTTGTTAGAAGTGATAATAACGCCAGACATGGTTTATGCAATTTGTTAAAATTATTTGAAAGTATAAACAGTGTCCCTTTTTTCTGCTCGTGTACTATGAAAAAAAAAAAGGAAAGGAAGTTAGGTTGCTATAAATTAAGAGGTTCGCCATGTAAATAATTCTTGGCGCAAACTGAAAAAAATGTAGAAAGATAAATTTTTGAATTTCTTCGTAAATATCACACTAAAATTTACAAAATTTAATATGTAGACATAATTTGAGTTGTAGTATTGAAATATGGAAAAAAAATTGGCATGTCATTTCAGAAAAAGTCTGATTTTGTGTCAAAATACCTATGTTAGAATAATGCTATATATAAATCTAATATGTATCCTAAGTTGCGCTTTCGAGACATAAAAAACGTAATTTGAATTTCGTCAATCAGCCTAGTAGAACGGGAGATATAGAACTGCCCCCCCCTTTTGTTTTTTTTGCACAGTGTACTTTTCAAAAGTATAAAAGATGTATATTATACAGAAGCAGAACCTTTTTGTGATTGGTTCCTCTCCTATGTGAAGCAGATCTGCCAATTCTATCCCCCCCAGGACCATAAATATTTCGGTTATGTATGTGAAACAGATTCTCAATGAAACTATTATGCAAAAGTTACATCTGTTCAAATTAATAGCGAGATATAGATCTTTCTCGGAAAATTTTCCAACTTTGTTTCATGTTACTAGATCTGATAAAGACATTAAGTGCTAGCAATACATTGTGTTCCTTGTCTTAATTTTATTTAATTTGTGTGTCCATTTTTCATTATCTAAAATATAGGCAAAGGCAAAATTTTGATCATTATTAGAAGAAAACATTTTCTCTACTGCACTGGAATTTTTTAAATGAAGTGCATGATTTTAGGATTGCTAATTTCACTTGTTCTCCATATGGGATCTTCAAAAACTTAAGCTTTCATCTTAAATTTTCAAGGAAGATGCACATGTTTGTAATCTGAACTAATGATGTTATAATAAATAATATTTTAAAAATAATTGTATGTAAGTGCAATTTGGGATCTGATCAGTTCACTGAAAAGAATAGACCATGAAAGAAATGTTAACTCTTGCATTCTTTATGGATAGTTTTTGAAGATTCATCAGAGTGTACTAACCCAAGATTACTGCTAAGGCCTCGGAAGGCAAACAATTTCTCCTCAGGGCTGTCTTAATATATTCGGTGCCCATGAGCTACTAGCAATATTGTGCCCCTCTTCATAACAAAATAATTAGGAGGGGTAGTGGGTGACAGGCAAAGTTTTTTACAAAAGTTTCAGAATTAGAAGTCAATTTATTACCATTAAACAAAATAACAATAAAATTCATGTGAAATTAAAGAAAAAAAAGAACAAGACAAATTATATAAACAAACAAAAAAAAGGGAACTTATATATTTATATATCTGTCATTTTCTTTGGTTAAAAATATCATACGTATTTAAGTTATTAAATAAGTCGCTCTCTATGGATAAAATACTCAAATCATTTAATTTGCTGTCCCAAAAAAGAAATAATTTTTTATTCTTTCAAGTGAAAAAGATCTTTCACCACTGTAATTTTGCAGTGGCAATACAAAAAATTGCATATTGGTGTGGCCATGTTAGAAAATGTGGACCCGTTTTTCGAGTCAGTTATTTTCCATAGAAGATATATTGTCTTTATTTTCAAATAAATAAATGTGTTTAAAATGAAGGCATTCTTCAATAAAGCTGTTTTCTAAATCGTCCATATATACTTTACACAATTCTACAACATTCTTTCTAATACTGTCTTCATTTAGATTTTTAGAATGACTAGAAACCCAAATTGAGTGAATGTCCCCGAAACACACTTTCTTTTTTGTACTTCTGCTAGAAATTGATCAATAACAGCATAATATATACACTTGTTGCAACTCACAGGGCTACAACGTGCAGGTTACAAATTAAATAATCACAGCAGGGATTATTAATATAAAGATTTAATATGGATATCTCACACAAGCTGAAAACGTTACATTACTTTAACTAGTGCATACATATAACTGAGTGAAAAGGGAATTTTCCCGCTTAGTTCTCAATTAAAGAAAAAATAAGAATAATAAAAAATAGTCCAATCAGATGCAGCGCTCCTTCTGTTGACCTTCGCCGAGCCGTTATGTAATCGTCTGTCTGCAGCGGCCGTCTCCAACATTCTCCCCCTCTTTGAGTCGACTTCAGGTTGGCTCAAAGACATACAGTACCTGGTCGAAGAGATCCAATTTCTGAGGCACCTTGATCACATGTCCAAATCTTGACACTTTAGCACCTTGCAGGATGTTACTAGAGTCATTTGAAGAATCATTAAAATCTGAATGCTCATCACTAGAAATAGAAGAAATAGGATTAGTAAAAGAGTTATCATTTATGGGATCAGTGGGTGTGTCCGTTAACTGCACTTCCAATGGAAAGACTCGCTGAATGGGACGAAGCAGCGTACCAGCTTGAGTCTTCAGTTCTACAGTTCTCACCTTGCCATCTTTCCCAGGAATTAGTCGAATGACTTTAGCTAAAGGCCAATGCATCCGTTTTTTGATGTCATCTCCTATTAGGACAATTTCACCCAACCGTAGCTCTGACGATATATTCTTCTTATTTTGGACCAGAAGGCCTAAATATTCTTTCCTAAATCTATGCCTTAAATCATTAAGCAGTTTTTGGCGATGTCTAGCCCTTTTTCGAAGACTTTTCGAATCGCAGAAATCAACATCAGGAACACCTAAGCTACGATTCTCGATGAGAAACATGGCTGGGAAACTGGGAACATGGGAAAGTGGGATTAAATCATCCAATTTTCTGGACACATACGGTAAGAGTCTAGAGTTAATTATTGACTTGCAGTCGCACAATACTGTGTACAACTCCTCGGTTGTAAGAACCGCGTTACCGAGTGTCCTTCTCAACAGTTCCTTTACTACACGAACTAACCTCTCCCACCAGCCACCCCACCAAGCGGCTGTGGGAGGATTAAACTTCCATATTATACGTTGTATAGCCATTTGCCTCAAAATCTTTTCCCAATCGATGTTACTAAGTTCTCTTTGCGCTCCTCTGAAATTAGTTCCGTTGTCGGAATAAATTATTCTCGGCCTCCCCCTTCTGGCTACGAATCGTCTCAATGACAACAAGAATGCGTCGGTAGACAATGAGGAAGTCAATTCCAAATGAATGGCCCTATATATTGCACACGTGAACAAAACAATCCAAACTTTTTCACCTCCCTTCACATACAAGGGTCCTGCCAAATCAACTCCTACCACCTCGAACACCGCTGCGTCATTGATACGATCGCCTGGTAGCGACACCGGCTCGCAACCGGGAGCCTTAGCCTTGTATCGATTGTATCTTACACAATTTTTTACAACTTTCCTGACTGTTTTTCTGCCCCTCACTATCCAAAATCGCTCCCTTAATATTCCAAGTAATATTTGGGTTCCAGTGTGACAATTTTGTAAATGATAATATTCTATCAGACGCTGGGTGAAATACACCGGTCTGGCAAAATAATTGGACAAATAAATTCAGGGTCGTCTGATCGCTCTGTAATGCGTGTTTTCACCCTTTTTATACCCTCTTTGTCTGAAATGACACCCATATTGGGAATAGAGTCGGCAAAGGGAAAATACTTATTTTGTACAAATTTTACAAGAGTTTTTTCTGCATGTTCCATCTCATGAACGGTTAAATCTCCAGTCTCTCGAAATGCACGTTTACTTGTTGCGTTTTTCACAAACCGCAATATCCATGCGACTAATCGAATGATGGATTGAAAATTCGAAAACCTAATTGCATACCAAGGTATTTCCTCTTCAACTGAATTAAGGTTACACAATCTGACCTTCCTTTTTTTCTTGTTCTACCTCAAAGATCTCGTAAGCCAAACGGTCTGGTGGCCAGTTGTTATTAGATTCCAGGAGCCAGGATGGACCCTCCCACCAAAGAGAATTTGAAAATGAACGAGGGGAACTGCCTCTTGAAAGCATATCTGCCGGATTTAAATCACATGGAACATGGCGCCAACACTGAGAAGGAATCAGACTGTTTATCTCTTTTACCCTATTCGCAACGAAAACTGACCAATCCCCACGGTTCTTAATCCACCAGAGTGCTACCATAGAATCACTCCATGCAATAATTTTCAAATCAGGCAAGTCTAAGGCGGCGTATACTGAGTGAACCAGTCTCGCGCCAATGCAACAGACCATCAGTTCTAACCGAGGTATTGTCAGAGATTTTAATGGCGCTACCCTGGATTTGGCTTTGATCAATCGAATTTTGACTCCCACGGGCGTTACAGTTCTAATGTAAACACATGCACTATAGGAGATCTTACATGCATCAATGAATAGATGCAGCTCTGAATTCTCATTTATCTCTACATATCGTGGAATTCTAATTTTCTCAAGATATTTAATTTCATCCTGCCACTTCTGAAAAGTTTTCTGAATGTTATCTGGCAAGGGATCATCCCATTTTAATTTCATAGTCCAAGCCTCTTGTAATAGTAACTTAGGTAATAAGGTAGTTGGACTCAAAAAACCCTGCGGATCAAAAATTTTATGTAGCCATAGCCAAAATATTACGTTTACTTATCTCATTATCCACTGAATAATTAAGATTACATTTTAATGTATCGTTATCCAAATCCCATAAGATTCCAAGAAGAGAAGTTATACCTGAACTACGGGAAATACAATGACCTGGAACATTACTTTCCCAACCCCGTAGGTTAAAACATCCCCGAGCCATTACTTCTGTCGCCTTAACTATAAAATTTTCTTGCTGTTTGATATCGTGAACCCCAGTGACACAATTGTCAACATAAAACGAATGCTTTAATTTTTGGGTCACATCGTCAAACTCGGCAGGGGAATTATCCAAGAGATGCTCTATCGATGCAGAGAGTTGGAACGGAGACGAACAAATGCCGAACACCACTCTGCAGTGTCTGTAAATCATAGGTTCTTCAAGAGTTGGAAGAAAAAACCCTCAAATAATCTCTGTGTTCTGGGATAATACTCTGCTGAAGAAATGCTTTTTTGTATGTCCGATGATAAACCAACAGAATACAATCTAAACCTGTCAATTATATATCAGGTATGAGTTCAATTAAGTTCGGCCCTCTATTTAAACAATCATTAAGGGACGGTTGATTTCTCTCTCGGGCTGAAGCGTCGAACACCGGCCTTACCTTCATTGTCTGGCTAGTATGCTTTATAACAGGTCTATGGGGCAAATAATAACTCAAATTATCAATTTCAGTTTCAGGAACCTTTTCTATTATTTTAAGGTCTTCCCATTGCTTAAAAACTACCTTATAGTCATCTAACTGATTTTCCTCATTAATTCGGTGACACATTCTTTGATGCCTTTTAAAAGTCATAGACTTATTGTTAGGTAACAGAATTTCAGATTTAAAGGGTAGTGGCAATTCATATCGGCCATCAGGAAGAACATTTAAATTCTCTTTAAATTGCTTAACGGTGTCAGAGTGAGCAAGTTTACGTTTAACATCTTCAGTTGGATCTGTTATGCCAATGGCATCTAAATTCCAGAGTTCAGTTACGCTAAGATTAGCACAATGCAACGAAACTACATTATTGCACAAATTATTTTGTAGTAATGCTGGAATAGTAGCTGAAGTAGGTTCTTTAGATAAGCTGTTTACTTTACCAATCACATTGTATCCGAATTTAGTCCCAACTACAGTTACAGTTTCCACACCAATCACAGTGTATCCGAATTTAGTCCCAACTACAGTTACACCAGAGTTCAGTTTCAGAGAACTGCCAGTAATAATGTCCCAATGGCATCTGCTCCTAAAAGCAATTCAATGTCATATTCTTTAGCTTGCAAATCAGACAAAGGTAATATTTCTTTCTTTTAATTCTTTTAGGGTATTGGGATCAACTACTTTTGGAACACATCCACATATTTTGTTTGAGAAAGTACTTCAAAGTTATGGTCATAAGTGCCCTCAAAATTTCTTAAATTAACATCAAACACTAAATGGGAATGAGGACTTGTCTCTCTCCCCCCAAACAAACCGTGTATAATGGTTTGTTTCGATTTAGGACGCAGTTGCAAAAACGCGATAACCCTTTCTGAAAGATAAGATTTCTGAGAACCACTGTCCAAAATCGTACGAACTGTAAGTTGTCTACCCTCAAAAACTATTTTTAAAACAAGTGTTTTGCAAATACACATTTTCATTAACAGTTGACTGATTAGACAACACATTACTTGAAATAACAGTACTGTCAGTTTCATTTGGCTTTACAGGTTCGCCATTTGAGCACATAATGGTATAGTGAAATCTATCACATGTTAAACATTTTACTTTATTTTTGCATGCCCGTGAACTATGTCCAACTCGTAGGCAGCGAAAACAGGCGCGCTTTTGCACCAAAAGTTTTCGTTTATCTTCTAAAGACATTTTGCGAGCAGAAAAACATTCGGCAGAATTGGGGATTTCTCACAAAAAATACAACGTAAATTTCGCCTACCTGTATTGTCTTGAACATTTACCAAGGCAGCAGCTGTAGAGCAACCCGGATCATCACAATGGGGACGCGAATGTGCAGAACGTGAAGCTCCCAACCCGGTACGAGCGAGCTTAATCATTTCCTCACTTTGCACTTCGTTTCGAAGAAAGCACAAAAGTTTATCCAACGAACGCGCACTATCTTGCTGTGACGCAGTATCTTCCATCGAGCGGCTTCTTTCCCACGCACGAAGAACAGTCTCTGGTAAACAGGACTCAACAAGTGGCTCTAAAAATTCTGCAAATTTTTCCTTAGTTCTACCGAGGCTGTCCAGTGCCATAAGCTTGCTCTCAAGTAAATCATAAAGTTCAGCTAAATCTACTTTAATCCTACCAGTAGCATTTTTCATTACTATGGAAAGTAGATCCCGTACATAAATCTGAACCAAAAGTTCATCTCTCCCGAAGCGTTCTTTAAGTTGTGCGATCACCTTTGAATAGTTTTCTTTAGTTGGCGGAAAACTTGTTACGAGTCTTGACGCTTTAGAATCTGCTACCACACATTGTAAAAGATATTGAAATTTATCTTCATCGACAATGGAGAGGTCGTTGTGAATTTTTTCAAACTGGGACCAAAAAGCAAGAAAGTCTTTCGGTTCTCCACTAAATTTCCTCAATTCAAGTTTCGGAAGCTTGAATTTCCTTTTTTGCTCGGTTGTTGTTCCTTCCGTAACCGAATTTGCCCTTCTTTGCATTTTCTAACAGCGAACAGATCAAGCAGAACTTGTCACGGTATTCTTCTGCTTTCAAAAAATCTTCAGAATATTCATCTTGAAGGGCATCATCACTTAGCAACAAATTCGAAACTTCTTCTTGAGTTGTTTCCAAACGTGAGAATTTGTCTTGAATCTGCCGAAACAACGTACTGACTTCGTCACTTATTAAACTTTTGTTTTCGATCTTCTGAGCTATATCGTTGCAGCATACCGTAAAAGCTGTTCTCAGCGACTTTCGTTTTGCTTTCAAAACTTTTATATCCATATTTCATCAAAAATATAAAGTAGCGGACGCCAAATTTACTATGTTGCAACTCACAGGGCTACAACGTGCAGGTTACAAATTAAATAATCACAGCAGGGATTATTAATATAAAGATTTAATATGGATATCTCACACAAGCTGAAAACGTTACATTACTTTAACTAAGTGCATACATATAACTGAGTGAAAAGGGAATTTCCCCGCTTAGTTCGCAGTTAAAGAAAAAATAAGAATAATAAAAAATAGTCCAATCAGATGCGGCTCCTTCTGTTGACCTTCCCGAGCCTTATTACGTCTTCGCAGCACCGTCAAAACGTATGTTGTGCTCACGAAAGTAGGAACTGCGTAATTTAGGTAAAAAGATGCTATATTTTGATATTATAAAAAAATTAGCGATTTTTTTCTCCTGGAGCAATTACAAAAAAAAAAAAAAAACCTATTTACAAAAAACCAATATTACATGGTTGTTTATGATTGTTAATACATTGTATGTTCTCCCAGACGATGCAATACAGTCCTTACAATGCCTAGGCATGCTGAGTATCAAATTATCGATCTGATTTTGGGGGAATATTACACCATTCAAAAAGCAATGCTCTCCAAAGTTCCGGTAGACACGTAGGAGGAGGTTGACAGGCTGCAACTCATCAGCCAAGCATGTCCCACACGTGCTCTACTGGATTCAAGTCCGGTGAGAATGCTGGCCAGTCCATACGGTGATATACTCTGATTGAAGGCATTCGCTTACGATGTTTGCACGGTGAGGACCGGCGTTGTTATCCATAAATACAAATTGTGCGCCCATGGCGCCCCGAAACAAACATGCATGTTTTCCCAGAATGACGTTTCGATAAATTTTGCTTGCCAAGGTTCCAATTTGAACATGCTGGTCAGTTTTGGAACCCAGAATAATTCCACCCCAAACGAGCACTCCTGCACCACTGTAATGGTGTCGTTCATGATGTTTTCTTGGTGGTAACGGGTACCTGGACTCTCCATATGAAAGTCCGGTGAGAATCAGACTGCAAGCTAAACCTGGACTCGTCGGAAAACATCACACAAGCCCACTTTGCGTGTCCACATGCATGCTCTCTACTCCAGGCTAACCGCAGGCGACAGTGAGTTGCAGTAAGTGGAACGCATCTGACAGGTCTACGATCATATAGACCAATCTGCTCTAAGCGTCTGTACACGGTCTGCTTTGAAATTGTCGTACCAGTGGCTGAAGAGAGCTGACGACAGGTCTGAGGCTGTGCTCCGCCTGTTTCTTTTGGCAGTAACTGCCAAAAGAATTCATTCC